AGAGGAAGAAAATAAGCCAAGGTATGAGGTAGTAAATATTCATTCATTCATTCATTTGTTGAAAATAATACGAGTGCCTACTCTGTCGCTAAGAAATATGAGCCACTATTTAATGACTCCTTCCTGTTTCCTTACCATCCTTCTCACTCACTTTATGTTCAGCCCACTCGGCTTTATTCATTACTGTAATCCCAGGGTTCAGCCCAGTGCTGACACTCAATAGGCACCCACGTGTGTTGACAAGAGAATCTAAACAAATAAACAAATATGGATATTTAATCCTCACAACAAACCTATAAGTATTATTGCCCACCCCACCCCCCAATTTTACAGATGGGAAACAGGCTCATAGAAGCAAAGTGATTTACCCAAGGTCACACAGCTAGTAGCTGAAATTCAAACCTGGTCTTTCATACTCATGGAACTATCCTGACCAGCCCTAGCCCATTCCCTTCCTTGAAAGCCTACAGCCCTGAAAGAAGATGGGGGTTGAGGCAGAGTGGAAACCCAGAAAGTCTGGATTGTGATGGGTGTCTCTTAGGGATTTCTGGGTATGGGCAGCTTCTGGGAGATGTGAGAGCTGATTGCTTCAGCATCCAGCTTATCTGGGGCTGCGCTTGGAAGGCTTAGAAGGAGCATTTCGGAGGAAAAGGCTCACCCAATAAAAAGCCCCAGAAAGCAAACAGGGATTTCCATAAACACCTGGCTGAGAGGATAGGCAGGTCTAGAGGCCCCGTACAGAAGCAGCAGGTGCCAGCCTTCCTTAGATGGCTTTGCAGGGCTCAGGACTTTCTGCCACTCCTTGTGAGACACAAAGGCAAGGGCAGGAGAATGACTCATTAGTCTCCTTCCCCAGGGAGATTTGCACCAACCATTGACACAGATGTAACAGGGAAGTGATGTTTAGGAGTTGGAGGGGTGAGGGAGTAGGGATCCTATGATGTAAGGTGACCCCAAAGCAGGCGTCCGTATTTGTTTTTTAAAACCTAGTTTAGGGACTTCCTTGGTGGTACAGTCGTTGAGAATCCATCTGCCAATGCAGGGGACACAGGTTCAATCCCTGGTCGGGGAGGATCCCACATGCCGAGGAGCAACTAAGCCGATGCTTCACAACTACTGAGCCCGCGCACCTAGAGCCCATGCTCCACAACAAGAGAAGCCACCGTGGAACTTCCCTGGTGGCACAGTGGTTGAGAAACCGCCTGCCAATGCAGGAGACATGGGTTCGATTCCTGGTCCGAGAAGATCCCACATGCCGCGGAGCAACTAAGCCCGTGTGCCACAACTACTGAGCCTGCGCTCTAGAGCCTGCGTGCCACAACTACTGAGCCCACGTGCCGCAACTACTGAAGCCCGCGCACCTAGAGCTCATGCTCCGCAACAAGAGAAGCCACCCCAATGAGAAGCCCGCGCACTGCTACGAAGAGTAGCCCCCGCTCACCGCAACTAGAGAAAGCCCGTGCGCAGCTACGAAGACCCAGCGCAGCCAAGGAAAAAAAAAAAAACTTAAAAAGCAAAAAAATACTTTAAAGAGAAGCCACCGCAGTGAGAAGTCCCCGCACCGCAAGGAAGAGCAGCCCCCAGAGCAGCTCCCGCTCACCGCAACTAGAGAAAGCCTGCATGCAGCAACGAAGACCCAGTACAGCCATAAATAAATAAATAGATAGATAGATAGATAGATAAAGTCTAGTTTAATTAGGGGGCCTGCATACCGTTTCCATCACCTTTCAGCACATCTTTTAGAAGAAGGAGGAAATGGGTGTATTTAATCCTTACAGCTGGATGCCTGTGAGCAAGGTCAATCCATCAAGCAATCAGAGCTCAAACCCAAAATATAAGCCCTGTTTGCCCAAGGTCAGGTGGAGGAGGAAGCAAAGCAAGGAAACCATTGGTTTGAAAGCCTGCCTGCTTTTTTTCCCACCCCTCAATCAACTGAAAGCTGAGTGCACAAGTATTATCCTGAGATTGGAAACTGTCTAACAGCCTGGGTTTTTCAAACCAGTTTTTGCTTTAAAAAAAAAAAAAAAAAAAGGAAAATAATCAGAAACTCTAAAGAACCAGTTTACAGTTGTGGTTTTGGTGTCGTTTGTATGTACGTTCTCCATTCTAAAAACGTAGAGAGAAATCAAAGGAACACAAAGCTGAGTGAGACTGTGAGGTTGGCCATCTCACAGGGCACAGGAACGACCCCAGAAAACCACCCCAAGATCCTCTAAGTTTAATCAAAACCCTATTTGTGACACTCTTCAGCCACCTGTGGACATAACGCAATAGGTTCCTTGTTCTCAGACTCCCATGCAGCAAATTCCCCACAGGGCCAATGTTTAAACCTGGTACTAATGTTGCATGCCTCCATCTTCCTGGACTGTCCAAAGAGAATGAGGTCACCTCCCTAAATCCTGGCTGCCTTTTTAAATCACAAAGCCAGTTCCCTGATTGCATGTGTGATTTTACCAGAAGGGCGCTTTCATCTGATTCCACATTGGAGTGGTAGGAGACCCCATCGTCCAAAAAGGCCAAAAAAATTAAATGTCAGGAAATCTGTTGACTGGGGCTGGGTACGTGGACATAAAGGGAACTGGAACCAGCCACACAAGCAGCTTCCAGAGGATACTTCTCCCACCAACACTACCAGCTATAGGCCCCTTCCACTTCCCACCAGGTCTGGCCCACCTCCATCACCACCAGCCCCCTCGGAGTCCCGCCCTATCAACACCTCTGCTCTCCAGGGTACATAGGGAGGATGATGCCTATTTCACGATGGACACAAATTCCCCAAATACCCTCTTTCTTTTTTTTTCGGGATTATTGAGAAGCGTAAAGAATGGGAGAAAGACCGGCTGTGGCTCCCTGAGCAGATCAAGAAATTGCCTTATGCTTCAGTCTCCTCATCGCAAAACAGAAATAACAATGGTACCCACCGTCACACAGTTCAATGAGGTAAAACATGTAAAGCGCTTGTCCCAGAGTCTGGTTCAAAACCGAATAGGTGGGGCTATTAATAATAACATTTATGTTATTATTAACATGTAATAACATTATTACTGGTCAGATACAAAAGCTTGGTGGTGGTGGTGGAGGGAATAAAAACTAGACTAACCCACCCTTGGTGCTACAAAGATGTCTTGGTGAAGGAAAACAAAGTGACCAACACTTGTGTTGCAACACCTCATACACAGATGCACACACCATTTCTAACCCTTGCCCCGAATTCAAGGTTCAGTCAACTTTGCCTCCTCCCAGAAGCCAGTCTTCACTGCCCACTGATACCCATCAGAACACCCCAGGGCACCCATACTCTGCCACCTAAGTGCCCATGTCCCACAATGTTCTCTAAGCGGGTCCTGGGACATTTCTTAGCAACCTGCTGGAGTGTGAAATACCAGGGGCAGGGATGAAGTATCCCTATATCTCCTCAATCACTCCCGGGGGCCCAGCATAGGGCCGGGCAGAACATCAAGCAGAGACTGGCCGAGTAATGGTGGACCCACTGCAAAACCAGGCAGACAACACTTCCTTTCTGACCCAATAGAAAGCTCCACACAACACAGACGTGACTCAGAAAAGCAAATATGTTTAATCAATCAAGCTGTTTAAAAAAAAAAAGTCTCCTACTGTTGGAACAACTTTCAAAGTTCAAAAAAACTTTCAGACAACAGCATGATTGCTGTAGATTTTTCACATGGCCAAACACTGGAAGAATAAACAGTGAATTGCCTTAGGGGAACTGTGGGTGATTTCTCATTTCAAAAAGTGTTTCTTTTATTGTTATGATACTTGCCCTACCAACTAAATCAAGAGGGAGGAGAAAGTCCTTTGGTAGGAAATAAGCACCTGGGAATCAGTGAAACCAGAAGAGAAACCAACATTCCCTTGCTCTCACTCCTGGGCAACAGTGAAGTGAAACAAAGCAAACTCTAGAATCCTGATTATCACAGTGATAAGACCCAGAGGCACACTGTGTCCGTTTTCATTCCCTGAGTCAGAGCTACCAGGTTTTTGAAACACACACACACACACACACACACACACACACACACAAACACACACACACCATTATTCCTTGGGGGAATGGTACCTGTATCAAAATGTTTTCATCTCTATGAGCAAAAGCCACAGTCTGGTGACTAAGAGAGGGCTCCTCAGTCATCCCAGAGATGTTGCAGAATGGGGCCTTGGAGTCAGATCCTAGCTCAGATTCTTGCTCTGCTGAACCTGGGGCAAGTGGGCTCCACCCTCCTGAGCCTCACATTTGCTCATCTGTACCACGGGAATTACCACCCACCCCCACCCTCTTCCCACACATCAGGTTTTTGCAGCCTAAAATGATAGACTGTCTCAAAGTGGTCAGGATGGGCTTCCCTGGTGGTGCAGTGGCTAAGAATCCACCTGCCAATGCAGAGGACATGGGTTCGAGCCCTGTTCCGGGAAGATCCCACAGGCCACGGAGCAACTAAACCGGTGCACCACAGCTACTGAGCCTGTGCTCTAGAGCCCACGAGCCACAACTACTGAGCCCACATGCCACAACTACTGAAGCCTGCGGGCCTAGAGCCCGTGCTCTGCAACAAGAGAAGCCAGCACAATGAGAAGCCCGCGCACCGCAACAAAGGGTAGCCCCCGCTCGCCGCAACTAGAGAAGAGCCCTCACGTAGCAATGAAGACCCAATGCAACCAAAACTTTTAAAAAAATAAAAAAATCAGTAGCCCTGAAAAAATTATATATATAAAGTGGTCAGGACAATATGAGACACACTGAAGGCCTCTAATAAGTGCCCCCCATAACTAAGTCAACCATACAAGATAGCCCCCTCAACCCCAACTACTCTATCATGGCAAAAGTTTAGATCCCTGCATCTGTGTAAATTACAAAGGGGTGTCACCTGAGTCAGGGAAGAAGGGGCTCGCCCAGTCCAGCCCAGGGGTGTGGGTGCGCAATTTCTCGGACCCTTCCCACTCCCACCCCACCCCGCTCAGGGACAACTGCGGCGCGCCCTCACCTCTGCCCAGGACTCGGCCTCTCTCCAAGTGCAGCCGGGGCACGGTGAACGTGTAGCTCTCGGCGCCAAAGCCGGGATTGCAGGGCTCCGGCTCCTGGCAGAGCCACGATGAGACCTGGGGTAGGAGAAAGACATGGAACCCGGGTGACTTGAGAGGGTCCCCTCCCGCCCACACCGAAACCAACAGTGCCTCCCCTCCCTCGCTCCCGGCGCCAGGACTGTGGGAGTGACCCACCCCCATGCCCATCCCCATCCCCCCGGGCAGGCAGCCACGCCAAACTCTTTCATTCGGAAACCTGTGGCCGCCAAGCCCCCAGGACTTCCCAGGAGAGGCGGCTGCTGGGTCACCTTCTCCAGACCTAGCACCCCTTTCCTTCCAGTCTCCTTTTTAATTTCATTGGAGGCATCTTTACGCTTCCAAATTCCACTTTCCCTATACCGGGAGAGCTCCCACTCTTAAGCCCAGTTCCTCAGACCGAGGGGCGTTCCAACCCCTTTTGACCCTACTTTCTTGTCCCGGGGACGTCCCCATACCTATTTACCACCCTTTCTTTACAGGGCAGGTGCCTCCTTTATCTGTTGGTTCCCCTTGCCTTACCTCAGGGGTCGTTCCTACTACTCCCGGCTCCCGCCGGACTTGCACCAGGGCTCCCCTACCCCATACCCCGACGCCCACCCTACTCCATGCCCTCCGCTGCCCGCCCTTAGCCCACCCGAGTCCCCGGAGGCTGCAGTGAGGCGCGCCCCCCCACCTCAGGCATTTGCGGGAGGCAGTGGGCAAAGCCGCGCTCGCCCTTCACCCTCACCCGCTCCCACTCCCTTCTCCGTGGAATCCAGAGCGCGGCGCAGTTTCCAGGCCATTCAGGCCCTTTGTACCCAAACTTTCTTGGAAGAAGAGGGACTGGGGATGACAGGAGAGAGGAAGGGACGACGAAAGAGAGGAAGGGGCTGGGGGCCGGGGTGCGGTTGGTGGGTCCGGAAGGCGTCTCCTGCAAAGTCAGGGGACCCAACGTACCTGCAGCAGCAGCAGCAGCAGGAGCGCAGAGAGGCTGCGGCACAGAGGGCCCATGGCGGGCCGGGCGGGGGTCGAGTAGGGTCCGGCCGAGCTGGGCCGGGCTCGAGTCTGGCAGAACTTCCGCGAATTCACAGGTGCTTTAGGGTTCCGGACGCCACTGAGCTGGGCAGTGCCGCGGGAGCCAGGTGAGCCTCGGCGGCCCCGCCTCCGGCACCGCTGATTGGCTGAGGATGCACCTGCCCGGCCGCAGCCAATGACCGGCGCGGAAAGGCCTCGGGCTTCCTCCGCTGGCTTGGGCGGACGCTCCGCCCCCGCTCCCGCCCCCCAGCCTCATGCCGACCCGGTGACCGGATTGTAGAGCCAGAGCAGCGGGTAGGGCTCCATGATTCCTATTACCATCAGGTTTGAATACCAGCCTCGCGGTGGCTCACTAACACCTGGGACCAGAAAGGATTTTACTCTTTAACTACTTCTGTCTTTTTAACTTCAGGTCTCCATCGGTTCGTGAATCTGCAAATCAATTCACTGGGCGGGACCCCGCCCCCCCGCCCCCCCGCCCTTCAAAGCTTCAGTTTCTCCACCTTCCCAATGGGAATAATAATCACCGAGCCTCCCTGTGTTGTTGTGAAGTTGTCATACAATTAATAAGACCAATGTTTGCTGCACCACAAAAGCTCGATACAGAGGTGAGGGATGATAATAGTTAACAATAGGTGCTGGGCATTAAAAGTTACTGTGCCGGTCTCCGTGCTAAGCATGACATTAACCATCTCATTTAATCTCATCTCAAAACAACACAAGAGCTGTGTTATTATTCCCATTTGATAGGCAGACAACTGAGGCATAAAGAATTTGAAGCCAGTAGGAAGTGATAGAGGACTGGAACCCACCTCCCTCTGATTCCAGAGCCCCTATTCTATTAACTTCACCTCATGTGGTCCCACAAAATCGCCAGCAGGAGCTGCAGTTTTCAATCTGTCCTTTAATGTTGACTGGAAGAGATCCATTAGAGATCACCCAAACCTTTCATTTGCAAATAACTCTTTCTATGTCCCATGCAATGGACACCATCTTTCCCTCTACCCTTGAATCATGATCAGAACTACAGTAGGTGTAAAAAGAAATGGTAATTATGTGATATGATGGGGGTGTTAGCTATGAGTTAGGTATGTGTTAGCTAAGTGTTAGTTACTATGGTAGTAATCATTTTGCAATATATGTAAGTGTATCAAATCAACATTTTGTACACCTTAAACTTACACAATGTTATATGTCAATTGTATCACAATAAAGCTGGAAAAATACAAAAACAAACAAACAAACAAAAGCACTACAGTGTGTGGAGTCAGCCACTCACTAGCTGTGCAACTTTGGGCAAGTCAGTATTTTCATCTGTATAAATGGGTCCTTAGGAGCTAATATAAGAAAATCACTAAGCAGAGTGCTTGTTGCCTGGTAGCAACTGCTCAGTAAGTGTTGGGTGGGGAGGTTGTTCTTTGGAACGGACCACCCCCTTTCCCCCTTGCTCATGGGGAAGACCATGTTTACAATATTTCACCCAGAGCTAAAAGTGAATCTGAGCCCATTGAGGCTACTTTCTCAACCCCAGAGGAGAGGCACTGTCTTGAACGAAGACACTGTTTCAGGTCAGTCCAGCCACCACCCCGCAACCTGTCCCCTCCATTTTAATGGGTTTCTGAGCACACGCCCAGGCCATTTGGATTTCTGCATCTTGGCTCTCTCTCTGCCTCAACCCACCAGGAGACTTTGAGGGAAAAGGCTCCAGTATTTCCTTTCCCACTGAGGCTCCTGCAGGACAGTGCATTAAGCAAGAAAATGGAAAGACAGAAAGAGGCGTTTCCCCCATGGGGCGGCTTGTCCGTTTATTTTTTTTCCCCTCAGTTATGTAAAAATTCATGTTTTATACCATCACTCAGCCCAGGGAGACTTTAGGGCTTTGCTTTCCTCCTCCCACAAAGCCCTGGCCTTGTAACTCCACGGCAGCTCTCATCGACTCCTCCATTACACTCTGATAATTCAATAAAAAGCATCTTAGAAAACAGTTAGGGGCAGTGAGGACAGGTCAGGCATGAGCTCGCTTCAGACTTCTCGGCAAGCCCTTCTCCAAGCTCCAGGGAGCGGGCCAGGAAGGGCTGCCTGCCCTCAGCGGTACAGGGTGAGCCAGGGTGAACAGAGGATGCACAGGGGTTTCCTGTGGAGACAGGGCATTGTGTGGCCCTCAGTGAACTGCCTCAATTTCCTCTTCCATCAAAAAAGGATACCTCATTGTGAGGATCAAATGAGCAGGTGAAGGTGAGCCTCTGCTGCCTGATCTCAGGCTGATGGAGGGTTAAAATTCCTGCTCTGCCACTATCTGGGTAGCATGTCCAGTCTCAGTTTCCTCATCCATAAAATGAGGATGTTGGCAGCACTTAATTCACAAGGTTCGTATAAGCGCTCCGTGAAGTTAGCTATTAGCACTCTAGGCTCAATACATTCCCCTTCCAGTTCCAGGCAAAACTGTGAGCCCCCATGGAGCCTCCCCACCCCCAGGCTCTCCTTTTCCCAGCCCTGCAGTTAAAGTCTCTTAGGCTATCTCTGGCCTCTGCTTGGAAAAACTCTTTCATGGGGGCTGTTTAGTCTTTGAGACCTTCCCAAGGTCATTTGCCTTTTAAAGAGAGCTCTGGGGTATAATTCTTTCAAAGGAAGGAAATCTTTGGAACCAGTAAACTCCGCCGAGGCGTTCTTAACCTGGTGTCTACGGATGGGCTTCATGGCGTGAGTGGTCGTGAAACTCCTAAGACTGTTAGCAAACCTGTTGGTGCAGGTGGTAAGGTCCATTGCTTTCATTAGCTTCTCAACTTGGGGAAAGAAAAATCAAAATCTTGGAAGTTGAGTTCTCTCTGAGGGCCAGTCCAATGTTAATGGTAGAATTTCAGGCATTAACCAGGGAAAGAAATGTTGACCGGAGGCCTTGCGGGTACCATTCTAGGTGGATGACAGACTCTACTACCGCTGGTGCTAACCGGGCTTCCGTCATTGGCATGACCAACACCAGATTTCCTTATTGCCTGCAGGGTGTGTCTCTGACGACTTTCATTTCCTGGGTGTCCTGGCAACTGGTCAGCTTGGAGGCTAAAGATTAACTCCCCAGGCGGTCCTGCTCCTTTCATCTTCTGGCAAAGGGGTGGTAATAAAGGCACTCAGACTGGGAGGGGCACCCCTACCCCAGCCTCAGCCAAGAGGAGCCCAACCCCCTAGCCGGCTGGGGAGGAATCCCAGGGAAAGTGGAATTGCTGGGGATTGCAGCCAGATCAGACTCCCCATTGTGTGGGGAGAGGAGGCTCCATACTAGCTGCTCCTGGGGGCTCCTGACACCTCTGCTGGGCCGGGCTGCCTGCCAGCACGCCGGGGAGGGAACTGGATATCCCACTTCAGCCTCCTGTTAAAATGTGGTAACTGATAGGGGTACCGCCCTTTGCAGCTCAGCCACTCACGTCTGCAAGGAACATTTTTATTTCAAACACAAGGAAAAATAGTATAATGCACACCATGAATAGTTATAATGAAACACCGTGTATCTATCATCTAGTGCCAACAATTATTTTTTGCAATTTGTATAATTTTGTAACATGTGAACGTTGTACCAAATCTTGTTTCATATTTTCATCCCTGAGTTTAAAAAAAAAAAAACTAAGACTATTTTTTAAAAAGTAGTTTTAGGTTCGCAGCAAATTTGAGTAGGAGGTACAGAGATTTCCTAAATACCCTCTCCCCAACACATACATAGCCACCCCCATCAACATCCCCCGCTAGAGCAGTACATTTGTTACAACTGATGAACCTACACTGACACATCATAATCACCCAAAGTCCATAGCTGACATTATGGTTCACTCTGGGTGTCGTATGTTCTATGGGTTTGGACAAATGCATAATGATGTGAATCCGCCATTGTAGTACCATACAGAGTCATTTCACTGCCCTAAAATCCACTGTGCCCTGCCTGCCTATTCATCCCTCCCTCCCCCCAAACTCCTGTCAACCACTGATCTTTTTACTGTCTCCCAAGTTTTGCCTTTTCCAGAATGTCATGTAGTTGGAATCACATTACATGACATTCTGGAAAAGGCAAAACTTTTGGTATGCCTTTTGCAGGTATGTAGACTTTCAGATTGGCTTCTTTTACTTAGTGATATGCATTGAAGGTTGTTCCATGTCTTTTCATGACTTGATAGCTCATTTCTTCTTAGCGTTGAATAATATTCCATTGTCAGGATGTACCACAATTTATTTATCCATTCACCTACTGAAGGACATCTTGGTTGCTTCCAAGTTTTGGCAATTATGAATAAAGCTGCTATAAACATCCATGTGCAGTCTTTTGTGTGGATGTAAGTTTTCAACTCCTCTGGGTAAATACCAAGGAGCATGGTTGCTGATTGTATGGTAAGTATACGTTGAGTTTTGTAAGAAATTGCCAAACTGGCTTCCGAAGTGGCTGCACCATTTTGCATTCCCACTAGCAGTGAATGAGAGTTCCTGTTGCTCCACATCCTCGCTGGTTGGTATTAGTGTTCCATTTTGGGCATTCCAATACATATGTACACTTGCATTTTTATTTTTGCAGACCATTTTAAAGCAAATCCCAGATAACGTAATTTCCCCTGTAAATATGTCAGTTGGCATCTCTGAGAACATGACCATCATCCAATTAAGTAATAACACCTAATAAAATTCACAATTCCTCAATATTATCTAATGGCTAAAAAAGGTCTTTTTAACAATTTGTTTGTATCAGGATTCAAGCACGAGTCACATTTTGCATTGGGCTATATGTTCCTTGAGTCTCTTTGTATTTGTAAAAGTCTCCCCGTCCTTTTTTGTCCGGCTTTTTTTTACTTTTTGGCTGTGCTGCGCAGCATGCAGAATCTGAGTTCCCCAAGCAGGGATGGACTCTGTGCCCCCTGCGGTGGAATTGTAGTGTCTTCCACTGGACCACCAAGGAAGACCCTTGTCCAGCTTTTCTGAAGTATAATTGACTGCACATGTTTAAGTACACAGTTTGATGTTTTGGCATATGCAAATACTGTGAAGCCATCAGCACAATCAAGAAAATGAACAGATCCCTTTTGTTTGTTTCTGTTTTGATATAATTCCAGATTT